CAATAATTCTTCAGACTTTCCTCCGTGTTATTTTCAGAGATCATCTTACGGCAAAAGTTATGTATGCTGATGACGACCAATAATAATTTAATCCATCTAAATATGAAAAAATTCCAACTTCGAATATTTCGTTCATTTTAAATGTCAACCAAAATGTTTGTGCTGCTGTTTGTGGTATCATTTTCTAGATGCTTTTTCACAGCTAAATTTCCCAGTTGTTGCAGGTCAAAATTCTTTTGAGCAACAATAACCTGTAAAATTGACAACTGCAATACCTGTAAAAATTGCTCTGGTTTTGTTTGTTTGAATGTTGATAGTAACTCTGCTTTTAGAGCATCGTAATCTGTTCCTCTTTGCACTTTTAGTGACAAATTTGAGACTACATCCAACGGCAGTGAAATTATTACGTGATAGAATCTTGTTGTTTTACACATCACGTTTCGCAATTGAAATTGCACTTCGGCATTCTCGAACCAATCTGTTGACGCAGTTTTCTTGAAAAGAGGTAATATGGCGATCGGGTCATGGAACATTTTGTTGATTGGACTGACGATTTCCTTTCTTTTTCTAAGCACGTGGATCTTCGTGTTTCTTTTCACGTCGGGGCTGACCAATTGTGGAGGGATGTTCGATTTGTTATTGTTTCGTCCTTGTTGTCGAATTATGAATTGGACAATTTAAGACGAGTAAAAATAATTTTAATTTATTAACCAAACCAACGTAACAATTTCGTACTAACGTAAAAAGGGAAGAGGGAAAGAAGTAAAGCAAAGAAGTAGCAGTAATAATAATAAATTAAATTCAAACATAGATATTAAAATTAATAATTAAAAATGTTAAATGTTTATAATAACTATATATATGTAGAGAAACTATATTTCTTTAATTTTGATTTTGACGCGCTTTGCGCGATTGATAATACACTGTGAATTTTTTGTCTGGGGTTTTTGTTGAGAGGTTAAAAAAAACCTAAAAGTAAAGTTTAATGAAATATATTTTGTGACAAACTGATTATAATTTGTGAAATAATAAACTTTAAATGTCATTTCTTTGTTTTCAGGTGAGTTTTTTTCCCAATAATGATTTTTTTTAACATTTAACAAAATAAAATCTTTGTTTTCAGAAGCAACACATTTGTTTGTTTGAATCATAAATTATAATCGAAACTCTTATATATATATATTTAATCCTCTACACAGTAATTGATGTGACTCAAGTACATCATAACTGCAGAGACAATGGAGATGAAAAATGATAAATTGAAAATTTCTGAAAACGTATTAAAATTAAATGTGAAAACATATTAAAAGGTGAAGGTCATTGTGGACACAAAATGAACAATGAGAACAAAAAATAAGCCAAAAACAGTCATTGAGGCATTGGCAGAATGCAGTTTCAACCTATTTTCAAATATTCAGACAGTTTTATTAATTATGGAAGTGCCACTAGTATCACCGTCAACAGTCCAGAAAAGTTTTTCAACACTGAAAAGAATTAAAAATTATTCGAGAAATAGTTCTGATGAGGAGTGAATCACTTCACTGGCACTATCTATTCATCGGGATGATATATCTATTTGAGTGGACAACGACATGAATTTTAATCATTTAAAGTTTAAACCAAAAAGCACGTCTCTTTTATATATTTTAAAAAATTAATAAATTACTTTTTTTTATATAATTTGGTTGGATTTGTTTGTTTGTAAATAAAATTTAATATATTTAGATTTGTATTTATTTTCTTGATTTAAATTCAAAAATGTACTCCGACAGTCCCGCCCTCCAAAAAATAATCCTAGCTACGGCCATGGTCCAATAGCACAACATGCACAAGTTACACAAAAAACAAGTTGTAGATATCTTAAATGCCATTAATTATTCCTTAAGCAGATTTTCATGCTGACTTCAAATTTGAAAACCGTTTTGCCCTATCAGGTCAAATTGCTGAGATATTGTCAAATTTATATATTTAGTTTGCCTGAAGAAGTGGGCTAATACATGATCATTTTATTAAAAGCCTTTATATAAATGAGACTTTTAAAAAATTAAATTATGAGTGTATATTTCTAATGTTTTCTCAATATATATATAATATATAAGTATGTTTATCAATTTATTAGTAATATAATATATAAGAATTGTTCAGCTGCTTGGTTCACTTTTGAAGAAGAACAAGGAAAAAAGAGAGCGAGAAATAAAGTTGAGTGGTAACAGTTGAACTAGAAGTGAGATTCGATGCAAAGTCGTAAATGTGATTTATGTAGTTATTTGGACTAATTTATTGTTTCCATTACTGTTCGTATTAAAATAAACGTTCAAGTAATGGTGTTCATCAATCGGAAATCTTGAACCTACGGATAAACGAACTCTTGACTATCGTTAGAAGCTACACACGGTGTTGGAGATATAGAGATTATTGAAGTTATAACATCGTGGCTGGTAGTTGCGAGGTCGAGGTCAGAAGTGGGGTTTTTAGGAGATTACAACAATATTTTTAGTACAACTGAAAAAAGGCATGGGTGGCATTCAAGTCAGTTGTATTTAATTTCCTTGGAAATAAGAAAAGTGCCAACTTCGCAAATAATTGTACAAAAATGCATTACACTGCCTACTGCCTACAGAGATCTTGGGTGTAATATGTTTCTGAAAATTTATTGACTCGACTCCCATTTAGACCTCTTCCCAGAAAATCAGTGACGGACATGGCGAGCGCTTCCACCGGGACATTTCAGTGATGGAGTTTGGCTACCAGGGTCGATGGAGTGCAGCGAGGTTGGCAGACTATTGTTGGATCCTTCAACGTGATTCGTCAACTCATCAACACAAGAGAAAGTCCACAGGCAAGAAATTTACACCTTGAACATTTTTAACATAGTTTTACATAAGCTAGACTTCAAATTGAATTTCATTTATCATATAAATATTATTATATCAGTATTTTAAGCCATTATTTTGTTTATATTTAAAACTCATGTAAAAATATCATTTGAAAAAAGTTTTGTGTGAACAATTAATCTTTTACGTGATATAATAGTAAATTGAAATTCAAAATATAAAATCGGAGTTATTTTAAAAATGGGGCCTGATAGAAAAAAAGAGGTTGGATATTTGAAATCAGCATGTTTAAATTTACTTTAATTGTATGCCAAAATATCCTCAAATAGTTTTTTGTTGTTGTTCAGTGAGACGTCACAAATTATGTTAGTGTTCGTGTTGTTCACAGACATCGTGCTGGTGAACTCTAACCTCAACTGCGCCATCAATCTCTCCACAACGATGAAGTTTGTTTAAATTCATAACGCGATGTCAGATACTCAGATGAATGAAATGTTGGGATGGAAAATTAATGTTGAAATGCAAATAAATGTAAATGTAGCTATTCTTTAGTTTCAAAAAGTGAACATCGCTTGAGTGAATTTTTAAAATAAACTGAGGGGTTGTGTTTTTAAGGTTTTTTAAAAATTTAAATAGCCTTGAAAGTTTATCGTATCAGTCATCTTTTAATAGTTTATCATCAACATTTATCGCAGAATTGTGGCATATTATTCAAATGAGGGTTTCTACTTTTCGTTCAAATAATATTTAAAGACGATGGTGAAATATAAATACAACATACCGACTAAATCTTTCTATTAATAACAACTAAATGCACTGAAAGTTAACTTGTTTCATACAAACTTTTCACCAATGATCTCATGTCTGTACGCACCTGCACGCATACAAAAAAGATGGGAAAGAAAGAAGATTTTCATTTCGCATAACAAAGTGCGATGATAAGACAGCAAAGAAGCAGCGTATAAATTATCATCAAACGAATTGTTGGATCAAAAGCACATTAATAACAAGCAAAAAAACAAACAAACGAACGAAGGAACGAACGAACGAACAAACAAACAACAGCGCCGCTCATTATCTAGAAAAATATATCTCCCACAAGAACTGAATACAAAACAAATTAATAATAATAATAATAATAATAATAATATAAAATCTTGCAGTCACTTTTGTGGGATTGTTTGAGTCCTTGTCTTATTATATTTTCACAGAACTTCATTTCGCAAAGAGAAATGGCAGAAGAAATTAACAAAACAGAAGAATAAGAGAACGTGGCTGCGGATTTTGTTTGAGATTAAACGACAGTTCCATCATTGTCTGGTCCCGAAAGCCAAAACATCCTTTCAGTCAATGCTCTCTTTAAAGGTTAAAGGTCTATCACATTCTTCCTAGGTTCAGAAGAATCGAAACAACAAACATGGAATCATCTGAAGCCAGCACAACTGATGCACACTAACACCAACAAATTGCTAAAAAATCAATAGTATATTTTTTTGGTTAAATAAAATAATTTGCAAGCATTTAAGCATTCAATTTCATTTGCATGCAGTGCATTCATGTTCAAGTTATGACTTGTTCTGCAGGAAACCAAAAAAGACACACAGCAGAAGAAGAAAATTAAAAAAAAAGAAGAAAATGATTGAATGCTGAAAGCGGAAAAATGTTGATAACATTATAAGAAGAATATCACAATTCACTACAAACACAGAACCATTTCATTTTAAGAGCATTCATAATCTTCGGTATCATGGTGATGTTGGTGACTAATCGGAAATGTAATGATAATAAATCAATAATATGATGATAATGACGATGATGATGTTGTTGATGAAGAGGGTCGAAGTGATAACGATAGTGAACATAATTTGGATGGTTAAAAATGAAAGTTGATCAGCGTTCGAAGTTTGACGAGGATAAAATCTATCATAATGTTATGGACGGCATGTTGGTGGTGGCATTGTCAAAGTGCCTAATTCTACTGCCAAGTGTTGCACTAACAGGGATCAACTGCAAGAGAAGGCAGCCTATCATGTGCAATCTAGCTGATGCGTAGGTCAACACGCACATGTCTGCTTCAGACCTTTGGAGAATCAATTCAGACATTTGTAAAGAAATCATTCTCAGTTTCGATTTGAACAAATTTTAAACTCTAGCCAGAATGAAACTTTATACAAACATTATCAAACAGACGCACACAGACACATAGACACACACACATACACACACACATAAACATACACACACACACATAAACACACACACACACACACACAAACCTACCCTAAAATTGTCATTAAGGAAGCCATAAATGATTGGATTAACGAAACTGTTGGACATGGCCAGCCAGTGTACCTGAGGGGATGGGCATTATGTTATATTAATATCATTATTGCTAGGAGAATTTATATTCTTACAAGATAAAGTGCAAATTACATGTGGACACATACTTGCTTGTAAATTTTCTATATATATATACATATATATATGCAATACATTTTTTCTATTATTAGTGTTTGCATCGGTTTACATAAATGTACAAATGTACAGCAGTTGTAAACACGCACACACACGGACAAACACACACACGCACACACAGACATACAGCAAGCGACTTCGATGGATGGAGAATATAAAACGGTTTTTATTGCCCAGAGAGGGTGAATGAGCCAAAAAAGTTGATTGTTAATGGGAGAATAAGTAATGCAGTAAGACATACAGACAATAAACCATGTACACACATCAAAAACACAGCCACACCCACACACACACACACACGCACGGACACACATGCACAGACACACACACGCACACACAGGTACACACGCATGCACAACATTTTTTATACGTTCTTTAAATCTTTCAAACGTCACTTAGTTTAATCTTAATGTATGATGGTTTTTATGTAATCGTCGTCTTAATCGTCTTTTATTCATTTCTTACATCTATTTATTATCACTATTTTATTATTAACTTGCCTTATTTATTTATGAATAACCAACCAACCAACCGACCGACCGACCAACCAACCAACCGACCGACCGACCGACCGACCGACCAACCAACCAACCAACCAACCAACCAACCAACCAACCAACCAATCAACCAACCAACCAACCGCCAGCCATCCAACCAACCAGCTAACCATTCAACCAGCGACTTACATACCGAGGTGTAGATGGCAGTCCCGATCATGCTGGCTTCAGGTTTGTTCTCGTTGTTGAGTTCTGGCATGAAGTCGATGATGAGGTTGAAGAGGTGAAGGGGCAGCCAGCAGACACCAAACAATGTCACCACCACCAACAACATCTTCACCACCTTTGTTTGTTTGTATATATATGTTTGTATGTATGTATGTTTTATGTTTGTTTGTTTATTTGTATGCATATAAATTTGTATGTTTGTTTCAATATCAATATCAATAATTTATATAGCACTAATTAGATAAAATTCAAAAGCGCTCTCGCACATTAAACATATCAAAAATCAATAGTTAAAGGATAATACATAATAATAAGCAAAATCAAATACCCAAGACGAAACACAAAAAACAGAGACAATTGATATAAGGTGATAAACAAATATCAAAAATAAAAATCAACTGTCATGACAATCAAACCATTTTGAAATCAAGTGAAGAAAAAAGACACATATATAAATCAGCTATTATGGAAAAGACTCTTAACACACACACACACACACACACACACACACACACACACACACACACACACACACACACACACACACACACACACACACACATATATATATCATAACAAGAGTTTATGTAACGCCAATTAATAAAATTCAAAAGCGAACTCAACGTTAAACACAACATGAAATATGGATAAATCAATAATCCGACGGTAGATGATAATACATAATAATACGTAAAGTCAGAAATGAAAAACAATAAATAGAAACAACCGATATATAAGATGACTATCTAATAAAAAAAACAAGCATCAATTGGCAAGACAATAAAACCGTTTTTAAATCAAAAGAAATAAAGAAATTAAATATATACACACACACACACACACATACACACACACACACACACACACACAAACCCACCCACACACACACACACACACATACATACATCATCTCTCATAAGAAAACAAAAATGTTTTAAGTTCTTTTTTAAAGCGAGTAATGGACAATCCTGGATCTCTGAGATGGACGGGAAGGCTGTTCCAGACAGTTGGTCCAGAAACCGCAATACTGCGTGCACCAATACATAGATTGGCAGTCGGAACTTTTAACAGATTCGCAGAAAACGATCTTAGACCAGACCCATAAGAATCTACTGAGTACCTTTTAAATTTATCCTGTAAGTATGCTGGTGTCAGGCCATTCATTGATTTATGCAACAAGACTGATATCTTGTAGATTATTCTTTTATCAACTGTCAACCAATGCAAACTTTTGATTATGGGCGTCACGTGATCATACCGTAAACCACCAACCACTACTTTTGCCATACGATTCTGTAGAAACTGCAATATCGCAGTAGACCTCAGGGGTAATCCATAAAACAAACTATTACAGTAATCAATTCGCGAATGGACAAATGCATGAGCCAAAGTCTGCAGTGTGGAAACGTCCAATGAATTGCGAATTTGGTTAATCCTTCTAATCTGTAGCATACAATCTCTAGAGAGCATTTTGAAGTGCTGTTTCATCGACAAGTTTGAATCAAATATGACACCCAAATTCTTTGCCTTATCACAGAATGGAATTACCACGTCATTGACAAAAATTGAATCAGCATCTAATCTGGACAGCTGTTGCCATGTTCCAACAGGCAACAATTTAGTTTTATTTTGATTCAACCTTAAGCCATTTTTCGACATCCATAAATTAACCGCCAACAGACAGTCCACCAGTTTATCCAGCTCCGCCTGAAATGAGCTAGGTGAACCACTGACTATTATCTGAATATCATCTGCAAAGGCATGACTCGAGAAGCCGAATGATTCAATAACCTTAAAGACCTCAGACGTATATAAGAGAAATAGCAATGGTCCAAGAACTGACCCCTGAGGAACACCAAAAATAACTGTGGTAATATCAGATAATTTTCCACCAAACGAAATCTGCTGAGTTCTACCAACTAGATATGACTCCATCCACTCCAAAACCACACCAGAAATACCAAAGTTACAATGCAACCTATCAAGAAGAATTCTGTGATCAACGCAGTCAAAAGCGGAACTCATATCCAAAAACGTAAGGAGTGATATCTTTTGTTGATCCATTGCCATACAAAGTTCAGAATGGACCTGCAATAATGCTGTTTCAGTCGAGTGGTACTGTCTAATAAATTTGTATGTTTGTTTGTTTGTATGTATGTGTTTTTGTTTGTTTGCATGTTTGTATGTTGATTGTTTGTATGTTTATATGTATAGTTGTTGACATGTGATTGTTTGCGTGTCTTACTCGTAGTATAACCTTTTTTTTTTGTTTCTATAATTTTTTATAAAAATTGAAATCTGTAGTCAAATTATCGTGTGGCTGGGGTTTTAATGTAAATTGTGTGTTTGGTGTCATGCTTCAAATTCTAAATCCATATGTCATGTACACGAAACCCCGCTGTGCCAAAAGTTGCAAAACGTTGCTCTTCTGCCATTTATTAAATCATTTTTTAAAAATCTTAAAAGACTGCCGAAGAATCATTTTGAATTAACATTTTTTAATTATGACATCCTGCAGATGACGAGGATAACAAAAAGATAAATGTTACGGTATTTCATTTTTATCCATTATATTTATCATATATCATCCATACTCATTATATATCATAAATATTCATTATATATTATCCATATTCATCATATATCATAAATATTCATTATATATCATCCATATTCATCATATATCATAAATATTCATTATATATCATCCATATTCATCATATATTATCCATATTCATTATGTATCATTCATATTCACCGTATATCATCTGTACTCACCATATCATCTTTTTTTATCATATATCATCCATATTCATCATACATAATCTATTTTAATTCTTACATTACCTCTACTGCCCTATATCATCTCCATTAATCTTCCACAAGGTGCCGGCTAACAAGTCAAGTGTGTGTAAAAATTCAGAAATGTTTTTTGTTGCTAAGTGAGCCAGGTTCAATCGTGAAAATGTGTCCAGTGTGGTGGTTGGTGGGTTCGAGAAATTCGTTCAAGTGATTGTTTGTTTGTTTGTTGGGTTTTTTATAAATGCTTTTGATTGAATGCTAGTTGTGAATGTGTAGTAAAACATTTCGAAAGATTGATGATGATGTACGGACCTGGACCTCCTTGCGAGATTTCGTAAACAAAAAACGAAAATGAAATTCTCTGCTACGATTTAACTGAACATTTTTACTCATAACGACGACGATGATGAAGAGGATGATGATGAGGATAATGATGACGATGATGACGACGATGATGATGACGATGATGAGGATGATAATGATGGAGATGATGATGACGAAGATGGGACTGGAGGTGGTGGATGGCAGGCAGGCGTTTCTAACGATTGTGAGACGTGACGAAACGTTTGTGATTACAATGGAGATAAATAAGCAAAACGATGAATAAAATGATTAAGTTGTTTTTCAAGGGATCATTATACTCATCCATCCATCCATCCATCCATCCATCCATCCATCCATCCATCCATCCATCCATCCATCCATCCATCCATCCATCCATCCATCCATCCATCCACATCCATCCATCCATCCATCCATCCATCCATCCATCCATCCATCCATCCATCCATCCATCCATCCATCCATCCATCCATCCATCCATCCATCCATCCATCCATCCATCCATCCATCCATCCATCCATCCATCCATCCATCCATCCATCCATCCATCCATCCATCCATCCATCCATCCATCCATCCATCCATCCTTCCATCCATCCATCCATCCATCCATCCATCCAGTGCGAGCACATCACAACATGATTGCATTGTTGTTAGCAGCACTTGTACGTTGTTTTTGTTGTTGTTGTTGCTGTTTGACACTTGCTACATCAGCAGAATGCGGTTGTTGCGTTAGTTGCTGGCTGTTGATGGCATGCTTTGTTGTGAATGTTGTTGTTGATGTTGTAAATGTTGTTGTTGATGTTGCAAATGTTGTTTCTGATGTTGTAAATGTTGTTGTAAATGATGTTGCTATTGTGAATGTTGATTATGATGATGATGTTGTTGTTTTTGATGTTGTGTTTGATGTTGCTGTTGTGAATGTTGATTATGATGATGTTGTTGTTGTTGTTGATGTTGTAAATGATGTTGTTGTTGTGAATGTTGATTATGATGATGTTGTTGTTGTTGTTGATGTTGTAAATGATGTTGTTGTTGTGAATGTTGATTATGATGATGTTGTTATTGTTGTTGTTGATGTTGTAAGTGATGTTGTTGTTGAGAATGTTGATTATGATGATGTTGTTGTTGTTGTAAATGATGTTGTTGTTGTGAATGTTGATTATGATGATGATGATGTTGTTGTTGATGTTGTTATTAAATGTTTGGCACGCACTGAACTCAGTCTGTCTGCAGACTCGCCAAGCAAGTAAGTGCTCTCCGGCGCATGAACCACCTAAACTTTTTTGGTACTTTCGAGCGTTTTAAATGTGTGTGCAGCTGGTTCGTATACAATTTTTTTTTCAGATTCGTGTTCTTCAAAGCTGGTTGTTAGTTTGCACAAACATACAAACATTCATAACAAGCTAGGATTGCAAAATTTTTTGTAAGTTAAAAATGTACAAATTGGATAGGATGTTCGTTCAGCATTAGCATGAGAGGAGGTTGCTGTTACGATTGCATCTGATGAATTTTTCTTGCATTTTCTTGATCGAAAGCGTTCTTCACCAAGCCAGTTGCCAACCATAATAAGCCAACATTTGTATCTTTCCGGCTTTCAAAACTTGAAGCCTTTAAAAACAATTCGTTATTTTAAGCCTTCAGCACATTTAAATTGTTTGCAAAGATCTTCTCGACGTGCAGTTAGCCAGATGTGACCAGGTTCGAACGCGGACTAATCTGATCGTCGTATATTCATGTTGGATTTGATTTATCACTGTGTACATACATCACGTGTGTTCTTCTTGATAAAAACAAACGAAACGAACGAACAATAGAAGTTTTAATGAAGAAAAACCTGGCAGACCTACTCTACACAGGCTGTTGAATCTTGCAAAGAAATAAGTAGCCATTGTCCAAACATTTGTTTCGTGAATGTATAGTAAAAAACTGTCTCAAAATTTTGTTTGAGGCAGTTTTTTGCAATTATCG